AATGAAGCGAGCTGCGGCCGAGCTACATGCGCCACTATGGGTGATGAGGTCCATCAGCTGACAGGTTGGCAAGCGTTGCAAAAAAAAAAAAAAAAAAAAGGCCAGCCATCGCGAGGGGAACCCGGTCTGTGCAACCCGGGGTCTAACGCAGACTGCCCGGTGCGGGGTCTGCGCGTTCTGCGGCCCAGAGGGGAGGAGGCTGCGCGGCTGGGCCCGGCGTGCGGCGGCGGGGAAGGCGGCCTGGGGTGAGCGCTCGGGGCTTTTGCTTTTCCACAATTGCAGCTACACGGAGCAGAGCCTCTCCGGCGCGCTCCCTCCGATCCGAGCCCAGGGCCCCCTGGAAACTTGCGTCACAGCCACCGCTTCCCACATGCAACTTGGGGCTCACTTGGGAGCCCGACCGGCCTCCTCCCTCCCCTCCTCCCTGCTTAGCTGGCCTCCCGGCCCGGGCTCCGAAGCCTGGGAGTCCCAGAGCCGGGGAGGGGACGGCAAAGGGCGCCTCGGATGCTGGGGCTGTGCTGAGAAGCCGGGGGCCCCGGCGGGGTGGAAGGGTGGAGGCGGGCCAGAACGGCAGCGGCTCCCAGGAGCAGGCCGCCAGCGCGGCCGGGAGGTCTCCTGTTTGCTGCCGGCTCCCCTTCTCTTCCCTCCGCCGCCCGCTTTCCCCCTCCGCGGGCTGAAGGCTTCAGCTTCCCATTCCGGACGTGGCCCGGGCGGGACTTGCTCCTCCGCCAGGGTGCGCTCTCTCCGAGGGGGTGATAACCTAGAGCGGGGAGGGGGGACCTGTGGCGACGAGCTTCCGTCCTCCTCCCCCACGCCCCATCTTCCGGCCCCAGGCCCCGCTGGCTCCTAGAGGGCTGGCCCCTGGCTCAGGAAGCCCACGCCTGCCTTGGAATGTCCTCGGTCCTGCCCGCCGCCTTTCCCAATCCCATCGCCTTCCAGGTTCCGCCTGAATCACGTCTCCTAATTGAAATGTTCCTACAAATAGCAATTGTTACTATTATTGCTGAGAAATATTGTTGCTGGATGTGCCAGCACCGTGGACAGCCCAGCAGTTTGGGATCCATGTTCTTTAATCCGACAGATCCCAGACCACTTAACATCAAAGTCCTTGAAAGCCCTGCCTTCGGCCCACTGAATCTGCTTATTGAACATTTTTTTTTTTTTTTTTTTTGAGTTGGAGTCTCACTCTGTCACCCAGGCTGGAGTGCAGTGGCACGCTTGTGGCCACCGCAGCCTCGACCTGCTAGGCTCAGGCAATCCTTCCGCCTCAGCCTTCCAAGTAGGTGGAACTACAGGCACAACGCCACCACACCCAGCTAATTTTATGATTTATTGTAGAGATGAGGTCTCACCAAGTTGTCCAGGCTGGTGTTGGACCCCTGGTCTCAGGCAATCCTCTCACCTCAGCCTCCCAAAGTGCTGGGATTATGGGTTTGAGCCACCAGACCCAGTGAGCAGGCTATTTTGATGCACAACCGTCTCTTTAGCTCCCATTTTGCAGATGAGAGGACTGAGACAGTGGAAGATAAAGATGCACTCAGGAATGCTGATGTTGACTGCAAAAAGCCCATGCCCTTTTTTTTCCTTTGGGACAGAGTCTTGCCCATTCGCCCAGTGCATTGACAAAATCATAACTCACAGTATCCTCCAACTCCTGGTTCTCGCCATCCTCCTGCTGGACCTCCCAAAGTGCTGGGATACAGACATGAGCCACCACACCCCACCAGCCTGTGTTGTTTTTTGAGTTGGAGTCTCACTCGGTCGCCCAGACTGGAGTGCGGTGGCCGCTCCCGGCCACCGCAGCCTTGACCTGCTGGGCTCCGGTGACCCTTCCGCCTCAGCCTTCCGAGTAGCCAGAACTACAGGCGCGTGCTACCACGCCCGGCTAATTTTATGATTTATTGTAGAGACGAGGTCTCACCAAGTTGCCCGGGTGGGTCTCAAACCCGCAGACTCGGGCTATCCACTTGCCTCAGCCTCCCAAAGTGCTGGGATTACAAGCTGAGCCACCGAGCCCAGCCAGCCTGTGCTCTTTGTATCACACAACTCCCACCCATCCCATCTCAGCTCTCTTTGATCAAGGTCTTACTTTGTATTTAATTTTGCTCTTATGCAGAGCAGAGCATTCTGCTACACATGGTTATATGTGACCTGAAAAATCTTCTCCCTGATCCAGCTTTGTCTCCCAGAGAACAAGGACTATGCTTTTGCCCCTTCTGTCCCTTCACAAGGGATGGGCACAAGGCAGGGTACACATCTTAACTGCAGGGAGTGATCAGGCAAAGCTGCTTTCCTTGGAGGGAGACCCTGGGCACAAGTGGGTAGTCGGGGGAGACAGCTCAGCCAGTCCACCCTGAGCTGGGCATCTGCCCTCTATGCTGGTGAATCAAGGAGGGCATCCCCAAAACAGCAGAATTTGGGGTGCTATCTGGGGATGGCAGAGAGCTGCTTTTTCATTTATCTTAAATGGGCTCCAGCGATCCTTCCGCCTCAGCCTTCCAAGTAGCTGGAATTACAGGCATGCGCTACCACACCCGGCTAATTTTTTTTAAATTTTATTTATTGTAGAGATGAGGTCTCACCAAGTTTCCCAGGCAGGTCTCGAACCCTCGGATTCAGGCAATCCACTCACCTCAGCCTCCCAAAGGTGCAGGATTATAGGCTAAGCCACTGAGCCCGACTTCACTTTCTTTAAATTAGGGGCCAGAGCCATCGCAGTGGCTTGCACCTGTAGTCCCAGCTACTTGGGAGGCTGAAGCAAAAGGAATGCTTGAGTCCAGGAGTTCGAATCCACTTTGAGCAACGTAGCAAGACCCCACCTGTAATTAAAAAATAAGTAGGCGCCGGGCTCGGTGGCTCAGCCTGTAATCCCAGCACTTTGGGAGGCCGAGGTGAGTGGATTGCCTGAGCCCGTGGGTTCGAGACCCACCTGGGCAACTTGGTGAGACCTCATCCCTACAATAAATAAAAAAAAAAAATTAGCCGGGCATGGTAGCACGTGCCCGTAGTTCCAGCTACTTAGGAGACTGAGGCAGGAGGATCTCTTGAGCCCAGGCTGCAGTGAGCCAAGACCCTGTCTCAAAAAAAAAGGGGGGGGGATTTTAAAAAGTAGTGGAAGCAGTGGGCTAGATTTGGTCTGTGGGCCATAGTCAGCTGACCCCACTGATCCTACCAACCCCTTGAATCTCTGACCTGGGTCAGTCTCACCCCCGCCCAACTCTTCCCCTGCCCCTACCCACAAGAGCTGAGTATGGCTGGGAAAGAAAATCCTACAACTTCACTGACTGATCTCACTTATTTATTTTAGTGAGCAACCGTTGTATTAAGAATGCTGTCAACGTCACCCACTGGGTTCTGGCCTTGTTTTTGTTTTTTTGAGTTGAAGTCTGGGTCACTTTGTCACCCAGGCTGGAGTACAGTGGCATGCTCACAGCCAGTGCAGCCTTGACCTGCTATGCTCAGGCGATCCTTCCAACTCAGCCTTCCAAGTAGTTGGAACTACAGGTGTGCATCACCACACCGGCCTAATTTTTTAAATTTATTGTAGAGACATCTCACCAAGTTGCCCAGGCTGGTCTCAAACCCCTGGTCTCAGGCAATCCTCTCACCTCTGCCTCCCAGAGTGCTGGGATTACAGGCGTGAGCCACCATGCCAGGTCATGTTGATCTAATTTGTAATCTTTATTTTTTTATCTTGTAGAGACTGGGTCTTGCTATGTTGCCCAGGCTAGTCTCCAACATCTGGGCTCAAGTGATCCTCCTCCCGCCTCAGCCTCCCAAAGTGCTGGAATTACAGCCATGAGCCACCACATGCGACCTGGTCTTATTTTTAAATGCCTGACCAAGATCCTTGGGTGGGCCCTGCAGGCTGCTCTGACCCCTTCCTGTTCCCAGCCCCTTCTCCTTCCTAGCCTCTACTTCCTCCCCTCCTCACTCTCAGCTCCTGGCCTCACTTCCCGTTTGTCTGAGAAAAATGGAAGCAATGAGAAGAGAACACATACTCCCACGGCTGCCCCTGCCTCTCCCTGCACCTGGGATCCACCTGTGGCCTGTGTCCCTAGATCAATGTCCATGCCTGGGGGGCTTCTCCGCCCACAGGACTCAAAGATGTTGCCCCAGAAGCCGCCCTCTCTCCTGTGTCTTCCGTGAGCGCCCTCTATTGGATCAAACCCATTGCTACAAACAAGCTGCCATTATTCCGGCATAAACTAACCAGCCCTCAGCCCCAGATCCTCTTCCAGCTACCCCTCCTCACTCTACTCCACAGCAAAACGCCCTGCTCCCCTCTCTCCCGTTCGCCCCATCCTCCCCGCGACTCCATCCAAACTGCTCTTGCCAAAGTCCCCAAGGGCCTCCAAGACGCTACACCCAGGGCTGTTTCCTGTCCTCATTGTATCTGACCACCTTGGAATGCTTCGGGGCTTGGTGTCTGGGACATCCCCGGGTCACAGACCCGGGACCTGCTCCTTGCTCTTCAAACAACAGAGTTCCAGAAAGCAAGAGAAGCCATGGAGTGACGTGCAGCATCCAGGCTCTGCTGATCCCAGCTCCATTACTGCCTGGGCAGAGCCAGCTGGTTCCTTGATCTCATTCAGCTTTCTTGC